TTTTTTTTTTTTTTTTTTTTTAATACGTAAAGTATGGAAATATTATTGATAATAGTTTATCATTGATTACAGTTGATAAAATTGTGGTTTTATTTCCAAGCAAAAACTCATTTTGTTTGTGTAAAGTAGTTTTACTGTAGAAATATTCTATACACTATATTACAGAATGGAATCTGCAAACTGAATTTACCTTAATATCACATAATAAAAATTAAATCTTGACTTTTTTATGAACAAATTCGTGATGAGATAAAAAAAAAAACTTGAAAAGCCATTAAAATTGTGGTATTTTAAACTTTTACATTCATGACAAAGTTATAAATATCTTCAGAAAAAAGCTATGTTTTACTCCACATCAAATATTTTTTTTGATAATCGCACTCAAAAAATGTATAAATCGTTTCTATGTTATGATAACAACAACAAAAATTCCACATTATACATCTGACGTAAAATTCACTCTATATCAAACGGTCACTGGTTACGCAATATTTCCATAAAGGCCGAATCCACCATTACCTCGAAGAAAAAGTAGCGAAGCATTTTCCTACGCAGCTATCGGACGAAATGGCTCTTGTCACTTTCATGCCAAACTTGTTTTTCACCCCCTGCCAAGTGGAAACATCTGTGTCTAGTCGCGCCACAAGCCTCCTTTCGCACGATCGATAACTGCAACAGCAGTGAAGGCTTCAACTGTCTCCTCGCAATCGGAGATCGAAGCTTAAGAGACGACAGTTGTGTCATGGAAGGAAAGCCAAGCGTACGTGCGGTATTTTTATTTTCTTCTCCCTAGGTGACGCGCTCGTTGACAAGCGCAGTTGAGAGACGGAACGCGAAATCCAATTTGAAAGTAAAATGTGACATTTTTATTGATGTACGCTCCTTCCACTATTTGCTGCTACGACCGGAGCGTCTTTGGTTGGTGTGTGCGTGTGTTGTATTTTTACGTATTCATTGCTGAGTATCGGGGTTTTTTTTTACCAGACTTTCCTGAATTTGGTGCCTCACAGAACAGAGTTTCAAGAAAATATTTGCGTCGCGATTTTTCGAGGTTCACCATGTGAATATGTTTTGCGGTGACTTGTAATTTTCAAGATTTTTGTGGTAATTACAGTCAAAACTGATATAATAACGGTGACGTAATACCAATTGCTCCCTAAAGCTGGGCTTATTAGAAGTGCATCCCTTAGTGTTTCCATTATTTTACATAAATTTAGCGCGTAGCCATTAGTGCTTGGATTTAAATTTATACTTTTTTAAAGTGCATTTGCATATACATTGCCCTCAATTTTTCTTGTGAGCTGCGTTAGATGAGTATGCGTCTCACTTGTAACATTGTAAATTTAATTTCCCTTTTCTGGTCACCATTTTACATTTGTACTGCAATAAGAAACCTACATTTTCTAAAAATTTTGTTCTACCTTTAATGACATTTCTCTACACACTAATTTTGCACTGTTGGAATATTATTATTATTTAATGAGAAGCAATGTATTTTCGAAGCATCGTCGTACACTCGTGTTACTGTATTGTAGTATCAATCACTTATCTTTTACTGTAAAGAGCAAAGAAAATTTTATTCAAATGCTTATAAATTTAGAATGTGAACATTGCTTTACGTATCCCTCATACTTACTTGTATCGCTACCATATCCACCTTAACTGGGAAAATTTAATTACTGTTTAAGCGGCTTGTCCGACCAGACGTATCTCTCACCACTGACCACTAACCGGGGCTTGAGTCAAAGTCACTCTCCTACTCCTTGCCTTGACTTTCGAGTAAGGCACTTGTATCCCAGCTGGTCAACCTTCTCCACTTGTTACCACTTCATTCGTCTAAGCAGGGCTTTGCACGCAGTGCATTTGCCCAACGTGCAATTCAAGCTCATTTGTCCGTCTAAATGTCTCATGGTGTACGTGTGAGAAGGGTGTGATCAAGAGAGTAAATGTTTGGAGTGGCTGGTGCTTGGTTCGGTGTAAGACTGAGTATCTCTCGATATAAAGTGGTTTCATTATCTGGTTTATTGCACCTCGAATCACGCCTTCGATACTTATTTGGGCATATTTTAGACGTGTGCGATACCAAGATATCTTACGAGGACTTTTCGACCGTTAGACTCAAAGCTGTCAAAGGTCTCGAGCTTTTTTTCGATATAAGACTGAAACAAGACCTACGTTTACTAAAGTCACGTACATGTATACGGATAAAAGTAGGTATGTGTGTGAAGGCGAACATTACACAATTTTTCATTACAGTTAGTTATAAATAAAATATTGACATCATAGTATAAATTTGCCTAGTTTCAAAAGCCCGACGACGATTTTAGAAACAATTTTTCTCACTAATTAATCGTGAACGAAAAAAAAGATTTCGACGATAAAATGATATAGTTGGCCCTACTGAAGTACTAAATTGATACAAATCGTGATAAAAGCTGTAGTGAAATAAGATAGAACGCTTTGATATCCCAGTTTACGATGATATTTGCAAATTTTCCGTATTCACAACCGTAAAGTGACCATTACGACCATATCAGAGGGAAAAGGATAAAACAAGATGATGACTACGTTAACGAGGTAATAAAAATCTCACGTCAGTCGGTCAGGTGCAAGAAAGATACGTATAGAGAAAAGAGAGCGAGAGCCCTTCAATGAAAACTGCCGTCGATCAAAAATGAGCAGGAAAAAAAGAGGGACGAGACGAAAGCGCCAACTTACCGTAAAACTGGACGAGAGTGGACACGCCAGTGGTAAAAAGAGGTCGAGAGGTGGCGTGGACAAAGGGACCGCTTTAAATTACCTCAATTAAAATTGTGGTCTCCCATGGTAGTGTTACTCCGTAGGAACCGAGAAGGTCGAAAAGGGAGAAGATAATGGCGGGAGAGAGGCCTCGGCCGTATTGTACTGTACGCAGAGAGAGACATGTATGGCAAGCCAATGTCCAAGTCGTGCTGTGTCGTCCCTAAAATTATCGGTCCTTCCCAAAGCTCCAGCTCCCATTGATTATCACTGGTAATTGGCCAGTCGCAGGCCTTCGCCTCTTGTTCTCACCCTCCTCCTCCTCTTCATCCGTCCACCAACCTCTTTCCAGCCCTCCGCTTGTTCTCGGCCAAACACGACACCCCCTTTGCCCCCGAGCTTCAACAGACGACGTATGCTCTCAACATGTTTTTGTCATCGGCTTTCTGTACCCTTTACATGCGTGTAAATTACAGGGAGGAAGCAATGACGTGCTTAAGCAATCAATGCTACACCGTTCCATCTCTTTTTTATTCCTCGCGATATTTTTCACTCACGTAATTTTCAGTTGTCATGTTTTATGCTTTTCCTTGGGCATCAGTGTCAAGCAAGCCAGTCGTGAAAATACTCTCGAAACTCCACCCTACAGATATTATACGCTTGTGGATGCATAGAGAGTCATTAGAAGGCCTACCAATTGTGGGGGAAAACCAGGGAGATTAACTCGAGACGATCAATATAATAAGCTTATATGCAGACAGTTCGAAGAGGTATATAAGTAGGTATAAAAATGTGTGTTTATTTTTCTGTATTGATGATGCCCTCGATTTCTGTCGTTGGCTCTTTTTCACCCTCTTTTACATATTCATCGGAATAAGCCTCGTGCAAATGTATACGTATACATGTATACAACATGCGAGAGATCGACGACTATACTGTTTATACGTTTATACAAGCAGACAAGATGTACAGGGGGATTCTTCATCACCCAGACGTTTTTTCGTGTTATACACGAGAAGTATCTTTTCACTACTCGGACACCCAAGTCATCCAGACCCTCCACATGTGCAGTGCACACACGTAATAAACACCAGCTCAAGCAGCCGGCTTCCGACGATCAGCATCTTCCAAGCTGGGGTCGGATCGATCTTACCTTCCGCTGCACGGCCAGCACGTTGGAGTATTGTGTAACCTAGTGCTCACGTATTATGTACTGTATACACACGAGTCGTGATTTAATTTAACGATAAGACACGGGCAATTTAAGCCACTCCTCCGTTGTAGCTTGTATGGTTTTTCCTTTCCCTTATCTTTTTCCACGTTTGCTCCCCTGTTTTCCTCGGTCCTCGGCCAACTAGCTCCAACGCCAGCTCTACTTGATTTTCTCTGCTCAACGAAGTACGGCAGGAAGGTATACAGCCCCATTTGTCGCGTGATGAATTTCGCACGTCAGGGAATAAAATTGCGGTGGCGTTGACTCTGCCAAAGGACCCAAAATTGCCGCAGTATAGTAGCGACACTTCTGTTAGTGGAGGAAAAGCTGCTCGTGAAAGGACGAACGAGGTGCGGTCACAGAGAGGGAGGGTTTTCTCGAATTGAAGTATTTTGATAGCCGTCCCTTGAAATTAACGAAAGCAAAAGTAATTTGATTCTTCACCTGTGAGACGTGTGGGTGTGCGTTTGTACAAACGAACTTAAAGCAGCAATGGTATACTTGGACAGAAGCAATGCGTGCTCGATTTATGCACTGCCTGGTGACTCTGTAATTTTCTTTTGGTTTTTCGTGTACCAGCTAAAGAGAGAGAGAGAGAGAGATAGTTGCCACGAGGTTGTGGGCTTTACCTGTATGAATTCGTTGCGAATATTGCGACGATAAATTTGTTGGTTGAGCTTGCGCGCGGATGTGAAAGGAGGCTGCATTAAACACGCCGTAAAAGCTTTATGCACGGCCATACAGTGGACGGTGGAGGTGGTGCGAGCGAATCTGCGTTGTAAATTAAAATAATAGAAATTATGCGGTTGTAAATTCGGCTTTGTTACTTTTGCTAGTACGTGAAGTACACGGAAATACGCACAATTTGTGGACGCTGGATGCGTTGTTAATACTGTCGTTACTTAATTTTCTTCACGTTATAACTGATACTCGTTTTTAACTATTTATATCCAAATGATTTTTATGTTAAAGTTACAAGAAATTTTTAAATAATCCACATTTTTCTGCCAACAAGTACTGAACGACGTCATTTTGTTTTATGTTGCAGTGCCGCCGGAGCAGCCAGCGATTATGGACATGTGGGGCCGACAGCTCAACGGAACTGCAGGCCCGTACGAGGAGGGCGACAATCTTTCACTGACCTGCCGAGTGACTGGCGGTACGTTGACTTGTACTACTGTAGACATAATACAGCGTTTTCGCGTTGGTAGCGTTATTGCATTGCGAATAATTATTTTTTTAAGTAATCTTATCGAGTAGGATTACAATAGGTATCATACCTACTTGCACTAAACATCAAATTCTAAGAAAACTTTGCATCATCTGCAACGCTCTCTGCCGTTGCTGGTTATTAGATCGAGTCATTTATCCTTTTTCCCTCCACTGTCAGCTTCGCTAAGAAGAAAGTTACATGTCTGCTACATCTCTAGTTCATTTCTCTCTCTCTCTCTCTCTCTCTCTCTCTCTCTCTCTCTCTCTCTCTCTATCTCTCTCTCTTTGTTGAAGCGTTAGATTCAGCCAAGGGAAGGACGAAAACCCAAAGTGAAGAAGAAAAACGAGAAAAAGGGGAATACATAGAGAAAGAGGTGAGCAGCGTGCACTCCTAGATTGAGTTCCGAAAGCACCTTCGAGCTCGCTGGCTCTTCGTTTACCTTGGCAACAGAATCTAAATTTCTGTTTATGGCTGCCGCAACTCCAACAATCCGCCCTAAAAGATTATTCCTCGAGTCCCACCGCGTCACCACCCACCCCCTCGCTCTACCTCGCTTACCCACCAAATATTATTTCTATACGTACACTTTTCTCTTTGCTCTGGACTCTCTTCCAAAGCTATTCTTTTTTTTTGCCTTCAGGTCCCTACGGTATGCTCGAACGATGCTCCTGATTTCGGGTTTAATTTAATTTTATGCGATATTTTTTCATTTCCCAAAGTGAGTCGCATCAAATTTCCAGAGATCTCCTACCTCGAATAATAAATTAAAATAATTTTTTTAAAAACGCCGATGATAGTAGATGCAATTTCTAAAAGTATGGGCTTATGTCACGTGACAGGAGAGTGACACACATCGCGAGGGTGGGTAATGAAAAAAGAAGCAGTTCATCGTCACACACGCACCTGCAAGCAACTTTTTATGGGCTCTTTCACTGTTTAATCTCCGTGCGATCTTGCGCAAACTCTCGACTCGCTGGCCCCCGTTGAAAGGCCTTCGCTGCTATTACAGCCGAGCTGAGACGTCACGTGTAGCAGTTGACGTACTCACTGCGTGTGACATGGACAGCTGCTGCTGGAAGAAGAGATGCTTGATGATCGTTTTAATAATTGACGAGGATAGATGTGTCCTGGCTGGAGCTGAAGTTGGAGAGTTCGGTTGATAAAGGCATGAGTCCAAGTGTGGATTCTCGAGCTTTGATTGATTAGGAATCTGGGTCAAAGGGAAAAAAGCTCTAGTTTTTTTTTTCAGCTAATCACTGTAGATTTTAAGGATGAAAGTCACATTTTCAAGCTCTCATTATAAAGAGGACTATTTGGGAAAAAATAACTAATAATCATAAACATGAAATTGGAGACAAAGTTATGATTACTTGAATGTACACCGAAACTTTGGCATTTGTTGTCCAAGACCCGTGTAATTTTATGCAATTAAAACTCTAAGATCAAAAGTTGAGCAATTATTGATTTTAATATCCAGTCCGGCGGTGGTGCGTTTGTTCCAGGTGGAAAACGCGACCCAGTGGTTGTTTGCTCTGTCACGAGGAGGATGAAGGGAGGAAAGAGAGGGTCGTGGGAGGTTTTCGTCTAATTAAGTGTACGGAACTTGGCCAAACTTTGCTCTTAATTAAAGACCCGGCCAAATTTATGACGGCAGAGGAAACACAAAGCCTCCACGTGGCAAGCCGAGTAATTCGATTCCCTGATAATCGTCCCTATGCTATGCACCTTTCGAAACATTCATCAGAGCGGGATATGCGTGTGGATCATTTAGCGAATTAAAGGGTACCTGGAAGGAGTTCAGTATTAGAAGTCGAAAGGATTTAAGGACTAAATCATTACAATTTTGAAGGAAGAAAGAAATTCGTATCTATGAAGGGTGTACTTTGAGTTTAGGTAAACTATCGTGTCTCTTTGTCTGTTAATTGACTAAAAAATTAAACACGAAAAGTATCCAACGTGCTTTTACTTAATTCATATCAGAAATCCTAAACATAATCATAAATATGAGCTATTTGGATAAAACTAGGGCAACATGAAAATTAAATCTGTGTGAATATATATTTCTGCATCTCATCATGAATGAATAGAATCTGCAGTAGCTTGACATCACTTGACACCGTAAATCGATGCAAGTATCCGACCGATTTTTTCTTAACATTTTTTTCCAAGCTCGTGCTTGGGGATTCGAAAGTGTTTTTAAAATTTAAGATAAGCTCGCGATCACCGGAAGGAGCCCTCTAAAGCTTTAGCAGCCAAGTGCACATCTGATCCGCTCTACTATACCGTGAGTGAATGATTACTCTTAGATCTGTTTTTTTTTTAATTTTAATTTTTTTGCTTACTATTTTTTTTTTAAAAACATCAAGAGCCTACACGAGCTGCGAAACTCGCGCAAAAGAAATCAAAGAATCACAATGTTGTTTCAAGGGATATAAGTGTATAAGAATCATAGGAAAAAAAATTATATGGACAAAAGATCAAGCAGCACAAACAATTCTGAAGCGTGCGTGCAATGTAACGGACTTTGAAATGCAAACGAAACTGGTGACGATAACACAGCCACGAAAGAGTCGAGAGCACCGACACGAAAGTATATATAGCAGTGCTTTTTTCCTCGAACCCGTGCCAATTTCGTTCATCACCCAATTTGTGTCACTCGTGCCTCAACAAATAAAAAAACAGACTGAGGCACCCGTACATTATAAAAAAAACTGCCAACCAACTAACAGTTCGATACCATTGATAAAAAATAATGTGTCTTATCGATATCTCAGCTGATGCACAATTAAATATACAACAAGTGCCAGAGCATCAGTATTGATCGTGAAACTCCTGTAATTAAGCGACAAATGCATGGGTGGAAAGTAAATTACAAGCGAGCAGAGTGAAAATCTAATTTCGCCACCCTGTGATCCGTCGATTCGGATAGGCATAACAACCAACCGTCATACGGTCGAAATTCGCTCATTTTTTAATTCCCCGCAGTTCTCACGACACTCCAATTATCAAGCCCCCAGTGCCCACCCAAAACCGTACGACGAGAACTGTTTATTTCAATAAACCTCGCGTGCAACGGTACAAGCTCGTGCGCAAAAGTTTCCTTGCGATTAGGAAGCACTCAGTCGCGAGTCTCGCGAGCCCCGCGAAATTGCATCCAAGTGCCGTGCCCCGGGAAAAGAAACACTTACTGCCGTACCACCGAGAGGGTGGAAATTAACGTGCGTGGCGCAACCTGGACTCGATGATAACGCTTCGATACCTGCTTGTATATACCATTGTTATGGTCACATTGTTACTGTTTCGTCGATACTCCTGCAGGGGTTTTCATCCTGATACCAAAGGGTGAGATTTTCTTTTCCTTACCAAGTAATTTTCACCAGAGAGTAAAATAAAGAAAAAGGTTGTACGGGCGTCGTTAAATTTTCTGCATTCACTCGAACTATATGGATACAGTACACCAGAGTAACGACTCTCTCCGAGCGCTATCAACCGCGCGACGCTTATTAAAAATTTCGCGTAATCCTTCGGCCACTTTGGGCCACTTTGGTATTATGTTCACGCCTATACCTACAGAGCTGCGGTGTCGCGTCGTTTGTAGCCCGGCAACTAAAATTTTCAAGCGACCGGAGTTGAGCCTTTTTTTCCCCAGCTCCCCTAGTTATATAATTTAGGAATTAGTCGCCACGTGTGTTGTACGAGCGAGTGCCGAGTCCGTTTTTTTGGTGTATGGGTGCACGTGATTACCACGGGGGTGACAAAGAATGCCGAAAAGAGGATTAAAGTAGCGAGGCCGTGCTCTCAAAAGAGCGTTGAAAGTTTAATTTCAAAAGTGCTGACAGAACGATGTGGACGAGCAAAGTTTGAGGCTCCGACAACGAGGGGCTTTAACCGGAACGCAGGGGCGCACATCCCCGTGTTTTTCGGGGTGTACGGTACACAGACATGGACACGCAACGCGTAAAGTGTGACAGGAGGGAATAAAAAAAAAAGTGACGACCTCGTGGATGTGCATAACTGCAACGCGTGTGTGGTGCTCGTTAAAATTTAAAATACTTACTGGTCAGCTCACGCGGTCGAACGTGGAAGTTACGTGCGACTCTCTCGCTTTCTTTGTCTCTGTTGAATTTTAATTCTCGGCAGGTACTGTACCCCAGTTCGTATTTTTTTTTCCCCCCCTTTTTTTTAGCGCGCTGGGGACATATTTTACGCAAAATTGTAAAGCAGTTTAAAAACTTGTTAGCTTATTCCACTTTTGTCTGCCGATGCAGTTCGTCAAACTGCCTGTAAAAAAAAACAAATAAAAATCATCAACTACATCTTTTACGGGAAATATTCGTGAAATATAGGGTGGACACATCGTGAATGTAATGTTCATTAATTTCACTGAAAAAACAAAAACACCGGATTTACCCCAACGCGCCAAGTACACGTTGCGGGTATTATTTGTGCCCTACCGCATACATATCCGGCTCCCTCGCACGAAGCGCGATAATCGATAGTCTGAATTATTCAGAGCACGTGTACGCGGGAAAATTATTACAGCTCATCGAGCGCGTATTATATGCCCTCTACCCGATGCTCTTGGCGAATTAAAAAATTCAACGCGCAGCCCTGCGAAATTGCGTGCTCCTCGTGGTAACCGGATCTGTCGTATTTTTGTACGACTATATTTATTTATTTTTTTTTTTTTGACGACTGGAGCTTACCTCAGACCCTTTAAAATCTACAAAACAGAACCTGCCGAACGAGCTTTTGACGTAAACGTATACCAGAGTATCAGCTGTCTATGGCCGCTACTCGGTACACCTGATATAAAGAGAATGAGAAAGAGGCCAAACCGGTTCCCAGGCCCGGCCGGCCGTTTGCGTTAGTACTTGGAGGATCCCCTTCCACTCCGGGGCATTGACTTGGACCGTCGGACACGAAACTACCGGAACGTCTCTACCGTCTGCGCCGATACAGCTCTGTTTCGAACGAGAGAGAATAGCCATCTCGACAGTAGAGCACGAATTTTAATCCTCGGATGCTGGGTTGGCGTATCTTCTAGGATTAGAGATCTCGGGGCTGGCTGTCTCGGGGCCAACTTCTCGGCCATTGGATCGGAGTAGCGAGCGAGGGTGTAGGGAATGAAGCTCCGGGGAACGCCAGCGTAAGTCGATACTTGTGTACACAGCCTTTGGGCTTTTGCCGAGGAAAGAGGCACGTGTATATACAGGCACGCGCTAGTACATCGCGAAAGTTTATTCAAAGCTCGGGCTGTCGTGCTGCTTGGAGTGAAAAGCTCGGCTCTCGACTTTTTGAGAACACCTCAAGTTTTCTCAAATCGCATGCGTTACGCAGTAGGTACTTGTATTTTTTGCTTCCTCCAAGTGGTGATTACTGGTTGCAAGCTGTGGCTTCCTTAATACTTTGGCAAAGTTCTAGCAAAAATTAGAGCTTTTGCACGGTTGTTATGGGTAACTAGCCAACTCTTCATTTTTTGTGCGTTATTAGTTTATCACGAGAAAACACATGAAATTATAGATGAAAGCCATTCAAACATACCTTCAAAAGGTCATAATGGTAAATGTTAATGTAAGCCACGTTGTTGATGACTAATTAACAATATATTTGTTTTTCGATACGACTGGACCACGATGACGGGATTACGCCTGGGACCTACGTATACTTCTAGACTTTATCATAGAAAATTTGTGTTTTTAAAGATTACATGAATAAATAGTTATTGTATTTACCGATATCTCCGGATAATTCGATACATCACTTTTATAACACCATCATCGAGTGGTACACGTATTACTATTGATGTACGAACTTCAGATAAGGTGTTGTGCTTTTTTTTGTTTTAACATAATATCTAATAAAAATCTATACATACATAAGTTATAAATAACATTTAAGGTAACGCAGTCAGTCTACTCATATACTTGAGCATATTGGTGACAAAAATTACGTTTTTCTGCATCATTTTCAATTAATTTTTACATTTTGTTGGGAAAAGCTGCGTCTAAAAGTGTATGAATGTTAAAAATTTTCAAAACCAAAGAACGATCATTACCGCTAGTGTACACACGAATAATTAAATAATATTAAGCTGTCTCATTATGGTCAACAACAACGTAATTAACCGATCCATTAACTCGCGACGCTATAAATTTCATTCCTTTGCAAAAAGATAAAAAAAAAGGTGTGTATGTATTTACGCGCGCGTCAAATGGTTGCAACAAAAATTAGCCTTGTCTTACAGTACGCGAGCAATGAATGGGTCACGAGTCAATTTTAATGGCTCAGTTAAACGTGGCATTAAAAAAAAAAAAAAAAAAAAAAAGAATAAGAATAATGTAGCTCGTAAAGACTCGGGGGACAACGACTGGCAATTAAATTGAACATTTGTATATTACGGCTAGCCTAGCTGCTGCTGCTCGATTCAACTAAACGCCAGTCCTTCGTTAACCGAATAAACTGTTTCGGCTCGTAGAGCGAGAAATCAGCGTGTGCATATCGCGCAAGAGAAAAGGGCCGTGCAGTTTCGCGTTTAATCAAGCGAGCAGATTTTACGAACTGGAAGTAATTCCGAGACGGACGATTTTGAGCTGGCTACTGGTAATATTTTTCAGCACGAATGCCGTACTTCCTGCCATGTCTTTATTTTCCCCCCACCCCTCCCCATGGATGATCGGCCAATCGGAAATTTACTCGAAACTCGTCAACCATCGGGTGGCTGTATTTGACGAGCTGTCCATTAATTTACGCTTACGCAAGGATATTTTTCGGGCGATTTACTTTGTCACTTTGAGTCGAGACTCGTCCCTGTCTTTTCCTGATTGAGCTTCGTCCCTTCAATATAGGAGGAGGTAACATCACTATCCTGTACCCGACACCGTATCCCTTCGACACGCGGAAGTAATTTAACGCGAATTATTCAGAGAGAGCCAGTCATCCTACAACCGTATGTTATCGCGAAAAGAGGCTTTTTTCCGTAAATTGACTGGTGAGAGCACACAGTGTGTCTAGAATCTCTTCGGAAGTGAGATATTATTGCCCTCTCTACTCGTGGACTTGATAAATCAAACAGTTACGAGGCTGTCGATTGTGCAATATTTGTGATGGACTACAGATAGAGAACGAGAAGGAATAGCAGTCTTTGTTAGTTTTAAACTATGGTCATTAGTAGATATCACTGATTTTAATTGCAGCGAGGAACTGTTTTTTTGAGATTTTTGGGTGGCTCTTACGTGTTGCAGGTAGGCCAGAGCCCACCGTCAAGTGGATCGTCAACGGTCAGCTCAAGGACGACGATGCGTACGAGAGCACTGCAGGAGACGTCATCGAGAAAAAGTGAGAATTGGGATTTATTATTTTAGGGCTTTTGTTTGTAGTTTTTTTTTTTTTTTTTTTAATTCACTCCTTTAAATACAAAACTCTTTACGAAGGAAATAAGTTATTAATTAAATTTTTAGGAATATATTTTATGGTGTAGAGAGCAATGTGCATGCAAGCTTTTTGTTTTTTTAATTGAATTTTTTTTATCATTTTATGTTTTTGATTCGTGAAGTTTATTTTTTTTTTTTTTCATTTTATTTTTAATTTTCATATGAACGATTTCCATGAAGTAAAAAGCAACCTGACATGATGGTGTAGTCATAAAGAGATACATATTTTTTAAATCATGTCAACCTAATTTAATAAATTTAATCCTGTTTAAACTTCCACCCCTCGTTTGTAATAATATATGGATGTGTATTCTCTTTTGCAAGAGTCTCGTATGTAACGTTCAAATGAAAATACAATTCTTTACTTTTAACGATACTCTATGATTATCGTAATTTTTTTTTTTTTTTCAGAATAACAGTAAAATCGCTGACTAGGTCACATCTTTTCTCCAATTTCACGTGTCAGGCCCAAAATACTCATCTCGTACAGCCAAAAAAAGTTTCACTCATCCTCGATTTAAATTGTAAGTAAACAATTAAGACTAAGTCACTCTATAATACCCGAATCAGCAATACATTTTACACTTCACGTTGTAATAATTTTTATGTTACTGTGAATAAAACTATTATTGTCATAACGATTTCCAAATATTTACGAGCACGTACAGCACTTTATGAAAAAAAAAAAAATCTGCAACTTTTTTGTACACCTTGCTCATTTCTATTTTTACTTCAAGTTTTCAAGTCGCGTAGCCTCGTACCTTCTCTCATTTGAAAAATTTACAACAAGTGATTGCTTTGATTTGTCAACATTTTTGCTCATTAAACGTTTTACTTATTGTACGTATACACGCGAAATGCTTCCAATCACATCAAGACGGAGGTAAATTCCCTTACGCACCGCAATCTCCCTACGGCTTTTCCCGTAATTTACATAAGCACTGAAATGCGTTTACACAATTGAATTAACACGGGGTCCTCGCGTCTCTCTCGTTTATATTTACACTCCCCGTAGCTCCCGATACGCTGATTGTCATTTTATGCGAAATTAATGACTCGATTAATATCGACCTCACGTATAGGAGTAGCCGCAGAGAACAGCCCCCACTGGCGCGTCCTGATTAATCATAGGATCATAATTATAGTGACGTTTGACGTAATTCCTGTTGACCCATTCTCCTTTCTCTCTCCACTATCCCTGTAACATCACCCTTTTTCTCTGTTTCTCTTTTTTAATATCACGTGGAGTCAAATATCAGCTTTGTCTGATACATAAAAACCTATACTTGCGCACACACACTGTGACCCTTTTTCATCATCAAATGCCTTAATATTGTATAAGATTAAATTGATGATATTGAAAATACTAAAAGCTCGCAATCCCGTTTGGTTGGCTCTGTAAGAGCTGGTAAATGAAAAACTCGTAAAATGCAAAATGAATTGATATTTCTCTAAAGTATCTGTGTTTTTTTTCAGTAAAACCACTTACCGTAACGATACGAAAGACTAATGGACAAGATTTTGAAAACGAGGCCTTAAAAGCAGGAGAGCGTTACGAGGTGGAGTGCGAGACGACGGGCTCGAAGCCGCCTGCGGTGATCACGTGGTACAAGGGCAGAAGGCCTCTGATACACGTAAAGGTACGTCACAAAGCTTACCATGGGAGCCTGATAGTTTTCAGCTTAAACTTTGACAAATCCATTCGTGCAATACCTCAATTTGTCCTTTTTCCAACTGTACATCCTGAACCATTGTTAACAATCAACAATATATTTGGAATTGTCTTTATAGCTGTAGTTTGTCCCTATATACTAATAAACAAGGCACACAGACCCCAAAGATTTTCTAAACGAGTTATATCATCAGGTACTTATGTCCTTAATTGACTCGAAGATCCACGTTTTGAAGGAAGTTACTCTGCGCATGCAATTTTTGTCATTCACACATTTTTTTTCGTACTACTATCTCTCTATCTCGTGTTATCTTCGTACAGCTTTTTTTTCCACACCTCACGAGTGTAAAACTATAAAATATTCTTTAAATAAAAAAGCCCAATGCCATCCCTGCTGTTGCAATAGCGGGATATGTTTATTGCCCAATCGTCTTCTTCTCTCACAAAAGAATTTTGGCGGGCAAAGTTAGCTTTGAATTAAAAAAAGAAAAAACATTGAGAAAGAGCAGGAGGACCTGGGCTATATACATATACATCTGATGTTAGGGAAATATTTTGTCAGAAAGTCAACGAGAACGAAAGAAAGAAGAAAAAAGGAAAGAAGGACGATAGCAGGGCACAAGAATCGAGGAATGGAGCAAATTTTCCTCAATCTTCGGTCTACGGCCAGTGCACGTTAAAGTTTGAAGGATGAAAATGCAAAGCAGTTTATTGAAGATGGTAAGAAGAAGGAGGGGAAAAGGAAAGTATACGTACAATCGTTGAATGGGGCCGGTGGGGCGGGGGGAGGGAAGCTTGGTAGCGGAGAGGAGGGCGAAAGTATGATCGAGAATCCGCATTAACGCGGAAATGGCGAGGCGAACCTGCCCGGCGCAGATATTTTCATCAACTTTATGCTAATTACCGATCGGAGCTTAAAGTAATGCCCATGACTGGAGTGTCCGGGTACCACCACCGTATACCGACGAGACGCGGCGGTAGCAGCCAAGAAGTTAAAACACCCCTGTTCCGGGGCTTCCCTTTTGCCAACTTATTTCTGTAATTAGCACTGGCTCCCGTTCCCTACCTCTTTTCATTCCAACTCCATTATTCAGTGATTATAATCTCCCCGGATAAGGCCTCGGAACCACGTATACCTACGTCATTTCGGCTTTTGTTGTCACTGCAACTGTGACCGTACATGTACACGCGAGTCCTGCGAAAGGATTGGCCGGAGAAGTAATTATCCATGTGTAACGAACGAAACAAAGGGTCGACTCAGAAAATTCACCGGGTCTATTAAAAAGTAAATACTCGGATGATGATGATGATGATGATGATTACGACCAATTACCCGATCATGAGAGCTCGCGCGTGTATAACCTAATAGTATCATTTAAAAACGACAATATCGAAAATTGCTCGTGCGCGCAAAAGTCGTTAATGCGCGCGTCAATGGGTACACATGGGTGCCGCTGGGAATATTCGACATTACGTAAGCATAAACTGGAAATGCTAATGTGGTAGTGTTGTGTGTATGTGCGCGAGCAAACGTGAACTGCAGTGTAAATTTGAATACGCGAGGCGATGGCCTTTACGTGATGGCCCCACTGTATATAACCCCCCCACTGCTCGTTCTGTTCACATTATGCGCCAGCCTGTATTTATAGAGCGAATTGGTTAAACAAGTGATTATCATGCATCTACCAATGAATCTGTGCGCTTCACATTTAAGTATTACGCTGAATACCATTAGTTGTAAATTTTTGGGTCTTGAAGATTCGGCAACGTAATATTTATCGTGAGCTATTAGTCAATGGGTGTTACGCCACTTATTATTTTTCTTTGGTGAGTGTATGCATTTACTACTACTATGGTACAATATTAAAATCCTGTAAACCAACTCAAGAGGCGTATTAATCAGAACAATAATCTTACAGGCCAACTAAGTTGTACAAATAAATTGCATGTCATTCGCTTCATTTTAATTGTAGCTGGTGATGTATTCATTTGGTAATCTTTGATATGTTCCACTTTCAAAGTATTTGCTTATCAATTGAAATGTCATTACATATATAAATAAAACGATAATGGGTTAAACATAATTACTCAAGTGTTGTTCGCGTGTCAGTGATCGAGAAAAAGCATTTCACGTGTGTCCGTGGACGATAAAAATGAGCGAACGATTCGCCAAATTCGTCAGATACAGGGGAGGAAAAAAAAAACAAAGATGTTCACTGCCATCCCGGAAAACGACCAATATTGCTTTATTAATCTTTAGTTTCGATAAAAGCTGCACGTATCGAATGCATTGGCGTGTCAGGCATTTCCACTCCACACATCTCGAGCAGACCTCCATGCTCTTTCGTCCTTTATGCCTCTCTACTTGCAAGACTCCACGAAACAGAAAGCTCTTTATTTATTTTCCAAGCGTTTCCCCCTGCTTTTCCCTGTCTCCAGCTCCCTGGAATATAATTATTATTCTCGGATCTCCGCGATACTGGCTCGCCGAGATCGAAAACGACCTACTCCCCCTCTTGTCTTTTGTTTGCTTTGTCCTCTTCGGCAGGATTCTTTTTGTGATTCCGTTGTCAACCTTCCACCTCCAGCGTACAATTTTCATCTCGGCGATTCACAGAAAAACGAAACGCGTGAGATAAGAATACGTGCCGGGCCTAGCCGATGAAGTACTTTCTGGCATTTGCCAATCAGTAGGTGTATGTGTGTTCTTGGAATGCTACGGTGTTCCCGGAATCCTTGAGGAATGGCCGTACGTATCCCCTGCGCCTTAAATACTCGCACGCGTCGTTTAATCATACACGTGGATCTCATCTGTATCGAGAAACCAGCTCCAAGGAAACATCATTTCGACCCACGTTACATAAACCATGTTTTATCTATACCTATTAGCGTTAACTTTAGCTACGTGCAAATAACTTTATTCTTGCGTCAATATGTTTATGGTGTTTAGTCAATGTACGACATGATAGTAGGATAAATGTTTAAACAAAAACAAAAATCTTTTTTAAAAGTCTATTTTGCTCACTTATATTCCCTATTACTACTTTCATGTTTATAAAAAATACCTAAAATATGAAGACACTAACTATTAATAAGCAATTGTCAACAATGTAAGGCAATTAGAAACTCTAGATAAAAGATCATAAATATGTAGTTTACGATAAAGCCCAGATATATTATGTCATGTGTGATATATGAGGAATAACGAGCAATGATAAATCATAATAGGCAACGACATATTATAATTTATTTTTAATAGGTAACAATCATATAGTCATTAAAAAAAATGATAAACAATAATAAACTCGAATTTCTATGTGTGAGAAAGTTGTTATAATTGCCAAAGATAAGTGTATTGTTTTGGTGATAAGTGTATTGTTTTGGTAATAAACTAGAGATAAGCAATAATAGCCAGTGATAAGGGGTATACTTGAAATAACGTACGATAAAAAATTATCAACTCGTCATATATATATATATATAAAACCCTGATAAAGGTGTGATAACTGTGCAACGATGAAATCATCGATGAAAAATTCAAAAACGAATGGTAATGAGATGATTCGTGGTAAGCAATGATAATTACTGATGATCACCTAGTTTATAATTTTTATTAACTAATGTCTTTTCCACTGAATAAAGATTTTATCCTTGTATGATGATAAAAATACAATGTACTTGTTAACATTCAGTCTATGCGATCGATCAAACGAACCAACGTACAAACAATCAATTGGTGAACCGCCAATCTTTGACGATAATAGCCGTCGCAGGTGTATATGCACATGTATACGTGTGCACGAGGGTGAACGTGTGACCTGCCATTTGTCGACTACGGGCTGTGGTAAAGAGCACTTAGCAAGGGAGAACCTCTTCTATCTACGAGCGCGTGCAGACAGACCGTCCATACACGTAATAATTTATTGCCATTCCACCCCCGCGTTTCCCATCTGAGCGTCGACGTGCTGGCCTTTGCGTTTCCATCTTCTATTATCACTGGCCAATTGATGGGCCACGTTAATTACTACTGGAATATTTATTCAAGACCCGAAACTATATGGGCGCGTAAAGTGTTGTACGTGACTCTATTGTTCTTTCGATAAAATAATCCAGCTGGGTCTTCTGATTATTTTTTTTCTTCCTCCTTTTTCCCTCTCCGTTTCTTTCTGCTTCAGACAACTCGTTGCTTGACGTTCATTTTCTGTTGCTGTTGGCTTTTTTAACTAGTCTTTGAACCTCGACAGATTCAAGTCGTTACAATGTCACAAACTAAGGATTTTTATTGATATGGTAGTGCACTTTTCGGATGGAAATGAAAATTTCATTTTTTCGTCAACCAGACGAGTTTGCGAAATCACTCAAGATGATAAATTGTATTTTAAGCTCTTCATCCCGTATATTGGGTGACCAAATGAATGAAATCTCGAATACTCTTTGATAACAAAAATTTAGGAAAGAATTTTAATAATTTTAAAAGAATCAGATCAACATTCAAGGGTGACGTAGGAAGAAATATTCGCGATCACAAAGAGGCAAGTATACGCGATGTAATAGAATAAAACCATACTGCTGCTTCCATACCTGTAGAGCACGCACAGTACGGCCACATGAAATTGCGCACGAGTAATAGCGTGGATGTGTATTTATACAAGCACGTACGCGGCTTCTCTCCCATAATAGTAAAGATGGAGTGGAAGGCGGAGCTGAAGGGTACATAGGTATACAGGTATACAGAGAGCGAGGACAGGTATTAACATAAGCAGATCCTGTAACCGACGGATCACGTAGTGCACTTCTACCGCATTACCATCCTGATTATCTCCTGCATCCATCCGCCTTCTCCATTCGGGCTCCACTACCGCTACACATATATTATTACACAGTCCTTTCTCTCCTTTCCCCCTCCCCCTCTATGTCTATATTCCCGGGAACACTCGACTAGTACTCGCAAATTTTTAGAGAGAAAGGAGAAGGTAAGGGATGAGCATCTCCTGTTTTCGTATGTATGCACGTGCCCCGTTTCTTCCTTACCTCCCAGAATTTTTCTTCGAGTTCTCTCGCGTGTGCCGAGCACTCAATTTTTCTCTACTCGTCGTTATTTTCGACCACAGATCAGCTCTGGTTCGATATATTTGGTAAAAAAAAAAAAAACATGCTGTCTACGTTTTTGCACCAAGCTCACGCAGATCCCTCGATTAATAAAACAAAGGGGCAAAAAATGTAAAAAAAAAAAGTCCCAAATGGGTACGCACGAGATTCAATTAAAAACGCATTTTGCACCATCTGCGCGGCCAAATCGAGCTCGACGATTCCTCAAAAACGGCCAAACAGACGCCCGCCCGTTCTCCCAATACGAGATTCCAAGCAATTTGCGCAGTAAGCTCCTTCCTTTTTTTTCCATTACCCTTTCCTTTCTCGCGCTCCCTTTCCACGAGAATTTAATTAACGTATGATGCAATTAAGCCTGTTACACGCAGCCCCGGTTATTTTTCAGGCTCGGACCTTCTTTCCCCGACCACATCCTCGAGAGTTCACTTGGCTCTACTTTTGCCTCCCTTGGCTTTTTTTTACCGTGGCTTTCTCCGTTCCGTAGCTTCTCCACCTCTTTCCCAAGATTTTTTTTTTTTTTTTTTTTTTTTTTTTTTTAAATCCAACCGGGGAGATGGATGCGTTCATCTCAGTTGCAGCAGCCGGCGTGGCTCGTTGCTTACGCTCCGCCGAGTCTGGGCCTCCAAGCTGCGGCTTCCTTTTATTATTACTCGAAATTAAGAAAATACGGCAGATGCGGGCACGGGGAAAAGAGGGAAAAGAGAAACGAGATCACGTATCCAAGAAAGTAATACCCGAAAAAAGGGGTCGGCTTATTTTTTATTCGAGTCGCTACGTTTCTTATTTTCTCCTTTTTCCTGCTTAATATACATACATACACGATAGCGGGATGGACCGTTGTTAGATTTATCTTTTTCTTTTTTTCTGTTGTGAGCCTTTATTTTTTTTAGCTGCGGCTGAATTTTTCTCGATCCGTGGGAAATCGAATGCAGAAGGGGATTGGAAAATTGAAATCAAGTCGGCCGATTGATAATACAAACAAATACGTAGGAATGGAGGGATATTATAAAAAAGGAAAAATGAAGAGTCGGTAAAGTTGACTGAGTAGGTACCCTTGGTAGGCTGGTAAATGTATGAAATTTCTGTTTTCATTTTTTTTTTTTTTTTTTGTACAATAACCATGTGTGTATACTTGAATGTTTGGTTGAATTCAATATTTTTACATCCAATTTTATTGTTTCGCTAACTTGATCGACCATCTCTAGTTAAACTTCCCTACAAATAAACAAATCTTTCACTTTTTTAAAGAATGACACTTTTTTTTCCGTCAAACTCATTTATTTTACTTTCTCGACTACGTCTTCGGGTTTGTCACAGCTTCATTAAAAACTCTACATCATTAAATGAGTTTGAAAAAAACTTCCATGTGGAAAAAAAGTCCTAACAAAAAAATTCGTATAGCTGAACTTTGCACGCGCACAGAGTTTTTATTTTATTTTTCAACTTCTGAAATCATCTGCAACGCATTAATTCCACCCTTTTTTCCAAACACTATGACCCACATACGTACGTACTAGGTACGTACTATAAAAGTGCTAATAAAGAGCAATTTACGTTGAAAAAAAAAAAAAAAAAAAAAAATCATCCGTCTTAATTAATATGACGAACGAACTCAGCTGCTCGCAAATCCATCTAAATAACGCTCCGACATTTTTATTTAAAAAGTAATTTTGCACTTTTAAAGTAGTCGCTTCATTTCGTGAATAAATTTATATGAATCACCTTTCTCGCCCTCTTTTTTTTATGGCTATACATCTACGGAAATCATCATTATTCAGTAAACACATTGATCAACGGTGACCTAAAACTATCTCATCTACAAACCGACTCCATAATAATTCTTGCTAAAATCTCGTTATATATTTTTAAGAGTCTTTCCCCATACAAGTGCCCGTTTGACAACACATCAAAGCTCACAGTCCCCTACAGATCAGTATTTGTACCCAAACCCACTGCTTCAAAGATCAACGCAGCCAACGAGAAGCAAAAGACCTTTCACAATAATATCTCGGAGTGAGAAACGAATTAGAGGTGAACGGTGGTGGTGCACGACTCAACGAAACCTCACCCTTGCGGGAGATAGGAGGAAATCTGGTTCGCGAAGGAGAAGAAAGAGGAAAGGAAATTGGTTCAAAGTATTGTGGCTCGAGGGGGTCAAAGCACTTGGCTGTGCAATCCCAGAGACGACTAGGGTGGTGGCAAAGAGTAGAGGAAGGACAGGTGGGAGAAGCGGACACGGCCAAGCAATCATACTTTAAATATGAAATTAAAAACGTCGAGCGCAGTCTGAGACGCAAACGAGAAGAGGGTAGGAGCTCTTCCCAAGGATGAAGGGATGAGGAGATGACGGGGACTATCAGGATGTGCCACTCTCTCACGCTTCGTTGGACCGATATCTTATTTTCGGGACATCGATTTGCCGGCTTGTGAATTAATGCTGCTGGTGCTATTCCTGTTTTGGGATCCTTGCTCGCTTGGTAATTGAATTTTCCCATCTTTGGACGACAAGGTGTACGGCTAGAATCAACGAATCATATCATACTCGGAAATTTTCCAGATATCTCACCACCCGAAGCGAAATTTAGTTTTATAATACATTGCGAATGAAATCACAGGCGATATCAATGCCAGCTCGTAGATAGGTAAACTTTTTACAAAGACACAGGTGCAGAGTATAAGCACAGTACAGAGGACAATGGGACACGTGCTAACAAGAATAGTGAACTGACTCATTCATAAAACGTGTTATATTTGAGTTGAAGGAAGAAATTACTCGTCGAAGGAAGGGTGTACGTGTGCAAGCTCGCTTCGAACAAGTTCTGTAACCTAATATGTAGGTTTTCCTCCAGTTGGTAACTGGAATTTCCGACCGAGTGGTAGTTATGAGGTAGTTAAGGGTTGCGCATGCAGTGTTTGCTGGTGTGACTTTTTCGAAAAACTAGTGATAGGGAGCTACGCGCAGGTATGTTTAGCTACAGCTGCTGCATCTGTGCTTACGATTCCAAGCTGAGCGAAAGGCACGTGGGGACACCAATCAAACCGAGTCAGCAAAAACTTTTGAGCTGTGTAACTGGATTATTCAATGCCGCGAGCGTGAGCTGCTGTCGTGTTTATATGTTTACTGAATGTAGGCTTCTGAGTATGGGTGAGATGTTCGTGAACTGCTGAGGATGGATTAACTTTGTCAAATCGGTACTCGAGTGCTGGATACATGCATGAAGCTCTTATTTTTTGCTCGAAGTTGGTGTAATGGGTTTCCAGTTGGTTAACGTTTGACTGTCAACTGCTCGTCTCGTATAGTCTATCCTCCTTACTTATTGGGATACAAAATTAGTAAACGTAAGAGTTGATGACAAAAAAAATTTAGCTGCTTGTACAATACCGGATGAAATTCCAAGATCTTCGTACAAATGAAATCTTGAAAAAAGAAGTATAGGTACGCAACAGGAAGCTAGCTATTGGAGAAAAAAGCCGAGCTTCGAGCGTACATTTAGTTATTCTAGCTCGAAAGTTTCAGCGGACACTTTGAACGCAAAAAACTCCAGCGACTTTGGCGATCTGAAAAATTTTCCAGTCACCCCACCCCGTGTATATATTCCGAGAGCCAAAAGAGAATCGCAATCACCTCTGAATTTAAAATCTTTATGATAATCCGAGAGCTCTGCTCGTTCCGCCAATTTTCATCCGGCTCTGACTTTTTTCTCTCGTTCCTTTCTCCTTTTTACTGCTACCTCAATCCAGTGCTTGCTCCCTGCCTTTCGATAACCTCAGAGGGAATGCGTTTCCGGATTAGACCTTTTTTTGCACCTTCGTTTGGAATTTTTTTTTCGTTCGGTTATCGAAATCCTTTAATATTATTTATCTCTTTGTTTACAATAACAAATTTAATGAAAAACAACTTGTAATGTTTATTATAATCAGAATGGTAATTTATTATTACGAATTTTGCAACAAAAAGTCCTTATTGTCCTTATTGTTCATTAAAACAGAATTTTCCGACAAGACGTCAGAGATAGCTGTGTAACGTACAGCGGAAAACAGAAAATGAATTAAGAAATAACATTTTTCACATGAATGTGTTCCCGTGTCAATTTTCAGGAAAAGAAGGGGACGATGAACACGGAGAATCGCACGATCAGTAGGGTGGAGTTCGTGCCCGGTGTGGACGACGACGGAAAATCGGTGACTTGCAGGGCGGAAAATCCAAACGTGACCGGACTGTATCTGGAGACATCCTGGCGGATCAACGTTGTGTGTGAGTAATTTCGCATTCTCCCTCTGCCGAGCTTCTCCCCATCTCCTTTTTTCCCCTCCCTTTCTCACCCTCACATTTTTAAGCGGACGCCGGATAAAAGAACGAAGAGACACGAGGGAGGGGCAAAAGGGAACGACGGCCTTTTTTTCATGGTCGCTGCACGTACGGCCGAAGACGATTCCAAACGAGTTGGCCTCGATTGGCTGTCGATCCTTTTTTCTCGTAAAAAATGAGCCGAAAAAATCCCCTCGTAAAAGCTACTATAGCTGATGCCCCCGGCTAATTTTATTGACCAATCTCGCCCCGTCTTGAGTGATGAGAGAAAAAATCTGCCATCAGACTCGTCACTCCCGGAAGTACCGTGTTTCAACTTTTATTTCATTAAAAGCGCCAAATTGATTAATGAAAAATGTCTATCGGTATTAAAAAATGTATACATCAATAAGCGAAATAAATGTTCAGTTAGCCATTAATCATTCGTACTGATTATACAAAAATAAACTACAGATTTTTTCACTCGCCACGGCAGCATCATCTCCCTATTGCCCGAAATATCGATACCAGCACTCACCCATGCCTCGTAGTTTTTTATGTATTAACTTTTTTTTTTATTTTTTACACCGTACTACCAGCACCTGCAGTACATTGTTGTTTACGGGAGGTCACATCGTTGATGCGTCGACAGATTCCTTTGACAGCTAGCTTACCTTTTCACACACCACCGTTCCTGTGGATTAGGAGCCCCCGCTTTTGTTTTTATTTCTAAGCCCTGGCGTGAAAATATTTTTTTCCGAGTATAGATTTTGACGTTGACTGGGAGAAAAAATTGGTGAATAAAATATAGGTTGGGCCAAGTTCGTAAATAGACGATGGCATTGTTGGGTGCCCTGCTCCCTTTTACAGCCAGTGCATTCATCGGGCCTCGTAAAGTTTACGTCTGGAGCTCCGTTGTGCGTGGCAAGTTATTGTATGTGCCCTCCAGATGTTCCATAGTATAGTATAGGATCGGTATCGGTGGTTCTTGCTTCATTTTTGGCTCCAAATAGAATAGGGTTATTCGCGAGCGATTTCTCAAAAGCAATTATCGAGAAAGCTGAGTGTACAATGGACGCGCGCGTGACACGAGCTGTCGTTTTTCAGTGGTTTTTGTCGCGGTGAAAATTTTCCTAATGAGATTTTCAGGCTGAAAGAACTCAGATTTCCAAAACCAGGGTGGAAATTCGATCAAAAATCGTGCGGCGCTTGATGAGCCGTCATCGACTCATTCGCTTAATTCCCGGAAAAAATTGCTCGATCGACCTACGGCTGTTGTATTTTTTTTTTTTTTTTTTTTTTCAACAAACCAGGCCGAGTTGAAATTTAATGAAAGCTCTAAAGCTCGTTTGCAATTAATTACTATTCCACATTACGCGTTTGCACAAAAGAACGATGGAAACGGGGGCACGTGCATTACAAAAGCACTCCATGAAACGAGATATAAATTCGGCCCAATTAATCAAAGTTTATTTGTCGAGAGCGCACTCTTAACTCGCAAATTAGGTATTTACGTAATTAACGATGCAGATAAATAATATTAATATTGTATAGAGTTTCGAGTTTTGGGGAACATTAAAAAGAACAATTTAATAGCATCGTTACGAGCTTGACCAAAAAAACGTGGTTTAATCATTGTTAATCCACTTTGAAATTGAATAAGAAATTATCAGTAGTAACGTTCGATTATGGTCAGACGCAACGCCTACACGCATCGCAGTATACGACTGATGCACGATGATGATAATAATATTAATAACCATATTCTATTCTTGAAGACCACTTTATCTTTTTATTTATTTAATTTGGACAGTAAGAGCAAGTTGAGAGTTACGAGGAGATTAAATTATATCAAAATAAAACAATCAAATTAAAATAATAATTATCATTATAATTATTAGTAGAGGAAGGACAGNGCGATAAGCTCGTCAAATCCCGCGTTTATACGAGGCAGTAATAATAATTTGTATTAAAAATTAGCTGAAAAATAAATGACACGGCTTTTAGAAGAGAGTCCTCCATCAATAAAAAAAGACGAAATTAGAGGACCAAAAAGACTTGCTACGATGTCAGTTTTGGGTAGGGTCTATGATCGTGTGTGTGAAAAAACAAAAATATACGCTTAGGATTTTTTTCCTTGAGAGATGGGGCTTAAATGAAATAAAGTAAAAGACAAAACAAGAGCAAGTAAAAGTGTGTTGTAGAGTAGCACCCGGTAAAGTAGGTAAAATGACGTCCCGTCACGTATTCAATTACGCCGATCTTCAGCCAATCTTCAAAATTGCGTCAGTCTTGCACTGAACATGTTTTGGTTTGTCTTTTTCTTTCACAAGAAGTTTCACGCGATGGATAAGTGCGTGAAGAACATGAGACAAGAGAATGGACATCCATATGTGCCAAAACTTTGTGTCAAGTCTCTGTGATCACAGGAAAAAGGAAAGTTTTGCCCGAGAAAAACAAATTTGTCGAAGTTTGTCCTCGGTTTGCTTATCTATATTCAGCAGGGTTAAAATGATGACACAAGAAAAGGGTAGAAAATGGGATTCCCCGTGTGTGATGAATTAAAATACAAAGAGTTTAAAATTTTCTAATACTTATATCAATCTAAGGCCAAGGATCCAATTGTCAATAATAATAATACCTTTTTTCACAAAAACTTGTGTAAGCGAAGAAAATCTTCAAAAATATAACAAGTAATCATCGTACCTTATCATAAAAATAAAAAATACGAGACATACATTAAAAAAAATTTTTTTGTACAACAAAAAATAGCAAAAGGAAATTAGATTGTTTGATATTGGTTATCTTGAATGTGGGATACAAAACATAGGACTTTATCACCTGATAGTACTGAAAAATGTGATTTTAATTATATTTAAATTGTTGCGACAGATGCACCAATCGTGTCCCTAAGGCTGGGAACGTCACTCAACGCCGGGGACATCAAAGAGGGCGATGATGTCTACTTCGAGTGTCAAATCAAAGCGAATCCATCGTGGTCAAAGCTCACCTGGATTCATAACGTGAGTACTTATGTATTAACTTCTAGTAAAACATCCATCCAAGAAGTAAGATTTTTTTTTTATTTTGGGAGATTTCTCACAAGCGTTTTTTTCGTGGGAATGCTTGAGTACTGCTCACTTACGTACGACCAAGCCCTTGGCAGAAGACTAAGAGGTCTCTTCTTTATCGCTAATAGCAACGCCCTTAGGGAAATACGTGCCTGAAACTTTAAATTCCTCATTTACATAATGTATGAGCCCTAACTGAGTCCCGATTGGCTATATACGCTGTGCAGCTAAAGTATCGTAAAAAGGCAACGGGGTATTTTTTTTATTTCTCAATGCGGCTAAGTGACGAAAAATAGTTTAAGCGCGAAAGCGCTTGAAAAATGATCGGGCGATTTATCTCGCGCTAACGCGGCTAGCCGTTCGCTCGAGCGATGTTAAGTATCCAGCAGCTGTGCCGCTTGGCTAAATGCCCCCTGCCCCGTTTTTTATGGCATCGTGTTTATCAATTTTGCAGCGGTGGGCGCTCCCTCTTTCTCTGTTTTTGCTTGTGAAATTCACGTTGCTGTGTTTTTTTGCGTGAAGTATGCTGCGAGAGCTTCGCTGAAGTATATCGTGGTCGGTAGCTGTAAAATTATCACAAATTTCGACACTATATTTTTAAAATAAAGTCACGGTTTTGCCGGTCAATGGAAAAATATTGTTCGATCGTTAGGAAAATATGTTAATTTGCTAGTGCAATGTGAATGGTGAATTCATAAATTATAGAAACTTGTGAGTTGTAAGATGAAACAAATTTAAAGTCGCACATTTTCAACTTATTACTTTGCAATAAGCACACTTTGCTTACAAGAACGTCTAGATAGTACTGTTGTAATTATAAATTAGTTTACAGAAACAAACAATTTCTCTCATCTCACTTCTTACTTTGAGAACAAAATATATGGCTTTAATGCGAGAAAATTTAATTTTTAAATAAACACGAGCTTTTTTGCAATTACGCACACATAAAAAAAAGCAGACTAAGAGAAGAGGCAGGTGATCGTCTCGAAAAAATTTCTTACCTACTAAGTAGAAAATTACGTAGCAATAAAAAGAGGTTTTGTCAAGAAAAACAGAAAGATGTCGAGGCATACTGGAGCAGCTCTTACCGAAGAATGTAAAAAGTGAGCGCAGAGTTAGCGGCTAGACACAAAAAACTCCTTGTCTGGTGAAGATTTTCAACAAAATTGCATCTCAAAAATACGATCTGAGTCGGTTTTACCTATCTCGTCCCACCCTTTTCTTATTTTCTACGATGAATGAGAAAAGGCAAAAGAGCTTTACTTTTTTATCAATTCAAAATTTTATTATAAATTTAACCAACAAGTTCTCCAATTAATTATTCAATTTTTGATATGTTTATTCAGAACTTCTCATCCAAACAACTTGAAAATTAATTACTTAACAGGGTAAATTAGATAGGGAAATCAAAACTGAATTTAAAAGTAAAAAAAAAATCTATACATACGAGTACAGGTACACCACTGTGCATTACCAGATTAAAATACGTAATCAAAGTCCGAAATCTGTTTCCACAGTGAAAACAGTTTCCTATCTCTGAAATAGCCATTACCTGTATTTACGATTTTTTACACTGTTATCTTACCTTTCGTGCAACAAAAGTTTTCATTAATTTGTGTACGTAAATATTTTAATTAGTTTAAAAAGTCCGTGGGTAAAAAATGCAAACAAAAAGAAAAATCATTTCCTAACTCAAGCGATTTCCAATACGACACGAAACCATTCGGATAAAAAGGAATTTAGAGCCATGCTCGGCTCTGCTTAAAAAAACCAATTTGAAAATGACCTGAAAGTTAAGCCCATCACGCTCTTGACCCGTTGACCACCACATCTTTTTCGTTTCAATCTCCACTTTTTGCATCCACATTTCCCATTAGATGAACATTCTCCCCTCGATGACCTCACCTCGTGACCTGACCGTCCAATATTTGGAGGGACCAGAGGAGCAAGAAAAAAAGGACCTGCAGCATACTATCGATCCATAAAAATCACAAGGAAATACCTCCCTCTCGGCTCGAGTCACAGCCATCGGGAGGAAGGACGCGATAAGCTCGTCAAATCCCGCGTTTATACGAGGCAGTAATTACGGGCCGCTCGCAAACGCCTGACTGTAGCAGCAGCAGCGGTATAGCGACATTCCAATCCAGCTGAATCCCCCGGAGAAGCTCCGGGGAATACCACTGCTCGTGGTGAGGGGGAGGCAATCGCATTCCGAAATCCCGGGGAGGCCTTAAAAATCGCTCGTGAGATCGTCCTCGCGGTCGTAAGCGTCACCTCTGCGCTAAAGTCGTAAAGAGCGGCAGCGAGGATAAGGATACCGAGGGGAGGAAGGAGGGCGGAGCTGCCGCGCGCAAAAGAGAAACGATTCAAAATGAGTGAGAGAGAAAGAAGGAGGAAAGACGAAGGTAAGAATGGCCCCTCTTTCATCCCTATGCGTAGTAAAAAAGGAGGAGGCTGGCGTTATACACCGAAAGAAGTATACCGCACAAGTGTACTTTCGCGTGTATACGCGTGGCCTGACCTGCGTATATACTGGAGAGCGGTGATTAAATCGAAAGCCCACACTCCTTCGCAAGAGTGCACTCGCGCGGACAATCGTGGGGGTCCTGTATTGTACGTTCTCCGTCCATTGACTAACCAATCGCCGTTCGAGCCTTATACCCGGTGGCCAAACCTCTTTTTCGAACTCTTGCCGGGTATATACATAGTGCTTCTTTCAGCGCCCATTCGCTTTCAAAAGCATCTTTTCGACTCTCCGCTATTTCTGTGCATAGTGGATTGCCTTTTCTCCTGTTCGGGAATGGTTTTGTAATCACTTCGAAACGCGAGATGCGTTATTCATTTTTTTCCCCTCACATCCACGTTTGAAAATGTAAACTACTCGCATCAATGCTCATTTTTCTCAACTCCCCTTTATTTTTAGGAAATTTCATTTTACTCGTGGACAGAGTTTTCCGTTCGAAAGAACACGTACGTCAATCAATGCACGAGCCACCAGAAAACTTGTCATTTTTTGAAATACAACCCACGCAAGCTCGTTCAAAACCACGTCACGCTTACAACGCTAACGGCACTTGACTTTGCTCGTAAGCATGAAAAAATGCACGCAAAAAACGTCCCTCGAATACGCTCGCATAGCTTTTGTCTCGTTAATGGGCACCTTTCATTTTTCACCGCAAGCTTTCCTTGGCTCTTATCTTTTTTTTACTCTTCCGTTATGGCAAAGCGAGTCAAACTAACAAGCGGTAGTACCCGAGTCTTTTCTTCGACCCTTGCGCATCTATAGTCCTGAAAACGTACACATCCAGTGAGTTTTACCGTGAGAGAGGAACACACGTTGGAACTCTTTTTTTTTTAACAACGTCGCAATGAGAAGAAACAATGGCCGAGCTCGAGCGTCGAGAATTTTTATGGCCACGAATTCACACAGCCTTTTTGTTTTCATTCAACTGCTCGGCTTCCTGAGAATCTTTTTGTTCCGTGTGCTATTTTTCTGTATGATGTATGTGAGCAAAGAGTGTTTTTCTCGTTTAATGAGTCACGCGCCGAACGCCAGTCGATTACTCTGCCGGCTTATCACCGTAGCCACTTGAGCTAGGCAAATTGTTTTCATGACTCGTTGATTTTTTTGGTTTTTCTCGTTCTTACATGTTCGTTTTCTTCTTACTAATTGTACCAGATGTATTCTATCATTAATTCATTTCTCGACATCGCTATTGAAGTGTCCATCCTGAAATTAATCCAAGAAATCGTTGATAAAAGCTGTCGGGACAATAGCAATTTATCCACTGATGATGATATGCGTATTCATGCTTTATGGCGTAGTTTATGTTTAATACATATATATGTATGGTTAACGTTTTATACATACGCTTAGATGTTGTAATATTCCGATCCACGCTTTCATCTACGATTTTTCCTACTTGATTTTCATGCTAATTCCAACTATTTTTTATAAAGGCTTTGGCGAAATTATTATCAATAGGTAAAGCCAATTAAATGAATTATTTTTTCAATCGTCTGACCAAACTGGAGTTGTACTACTTCACCTGCATACTTTATTTAATTCAACGATCTCTGTTTATACTTTTTTTTTTTTAATTTAACAGTTGAAAACTAATTTCAAATAGATGAAACTGATTCAACCAACTATTTTCGTAGGAGTCTGATTAAACTCGAGTTGTACTACTTATTTTCATTCCTAATCCCAATGGCCGGTTCTCATTCGGTTTTCAAATAACATTACGAGATTGTTGCAAAAGAATTGTAAATAGGTTGATCAAGAAAAGGTTGTCATCGCAAAAAAAAACCAGACATTCAGACAATCGCAAATCTATCCACTGGTGATGAGATGGGTGTATGTAACGTATAAGGCAAATACTTAGATATTGCAACATTACGGTCTAAGTTTTAAACCGTACGATAGCTTGTTTGCATGTGAGAGGAAAGGTGAAAGGCTTCCCCTCGCAAACACGGTCAAACGCACAATCCAATGGGCACACGTACGCACACATAAATGCCCGTTGGACGTGCATTTCTCTCTCCCTATCGCGACGTGCAACATTAAACACATGCGCACGCGAGATTCGATTCAATATACGTCTCAGTGCTCCGTGCGTTGCATATAGCGCGCTGCCGGATGAAGAAGAAAGCGAGAGGCCTCCTGGGGAAGGGGGCTCGAGAGACCGGACGAAGATAAACAGAGTCTCTCCGAAATGGAATAAAGAGAAATCGCACAGTGAGCGAAAAGCCAGTCCCTCGCCAGTCCTGCCCCCTGTGTTCTCCCTCTCTTTGCGTGTCGAGGTTCGATTTAACCAACCGTGAATCAATCTATTTCTTCGGCGCGATTGAGATTCGCGACGCTGCTTGCGAAGGGTGAGAATTGAAAAATAGCGGCGAAAAAAGAGAGAGCGAGAAAATAGCTGCTCGCATCGGATATAATAACCAGCGCT